TCTTTATTAAAAACGAGGTTCAAAACAAAGGTAGTCTTAACTCCATTACAGCTCGCAAGAGGAGCGAAAATAAAAAAGAGCTCTGAAAGCCACAACCGCCATGTGCAAAAGAATAGAACACTAAACGCCTATTCTATGCAGAGATCGCCATCCAAACCGGTTGAATATATCCCATACTGCCGTCTCCCATTGGATGCACCCAGTAACCAACGGCTCCCTGACTCCATAGGAGTGAGTAAGGACCACGTACGGATCTAGGCACTAGCTCTGAAGATGACCTGCAAGAATGTTAAAGAATGTTGTCTGTTAAAGATCATATCGTTTCTGCAGTTCCATATAGCCCAAAAAAGCGCACATATTTCAATCCGAATACGAGACGCGGTAATCAAATTGATACCAGCTAGCCAGGTCCCAAATAAACCTTCAATACTAGTTGGTGGATTAATGTTAAAGGCTATATGAATTGATCGACATAGTAATCTCGCAAGGGGTTACTCTATAAATAAGTGTTGGATTGTCTCATCATGCACACAAAAACAACATCGTGGACTGCGCACCCACCTTCGCTTTATCAAATTGTCCTTGGTAAGGATCACTTGGTTGTGTACAAACCACATAAAGATTTTAATACGCAAGGGGGCCTTCACCTTCCAAATATGTAGGGATCTTGGGATTGGACCAGAGTTAATGAGATCCATATAAAAGGATTTAACCGTGAACACACCGTTGCTTGTTAGTTTCCATATGAAAGAATCAGGTTGATCAGATAATTGAACATCCATTAACCGTCTAACCAAGTGTAGCAAGGAATTCTAACGTTCCTCGACTAGAGATCTCCTAAACGATGTATTTAAGGGTACCTCTTGTAAGATATTGGCCATGTAATCTTCTTTACGTTGAACAATATTATATAAGGTAGGGTATTGCAGTGCTAAAGGTTCGTCCCCTAGCCACGTATCTTCCCAAAATCTTGTTGTCAGCCCATTGCCGACACAGAATTTGGCCCTTCGAAAGAACAAATCTTTCGTTCTCATGAGTCCCTTCCAGAAAGGAGAATCCGTAGGTCTTGCGGTAACTTGGGCTAAGGTTTTTGAGTGTAAATATTTGTTTTGTAGTATCTCAGCCCACATACCATCATGTTCTACTGACAACCGATATAACCATTTACTCATTAAGCATTTATTCTTAATCTCTAGATTTTCAATGCCCAGACCACCCTGGTCCTTGGGTCTGCAAATGATATCCCACCTAGCCAAACGGTATTTCTTCTTAATGTCATCTGACTGCCAAAAGAATTTAGATCGATAGAAATCCAGTCTCTTCCGTACCCCCTTAGGTACTTCAAAGAAAGATAACAGGAACATCGACATACTAGTTAATACTGAATTAATTAGAACTAACCGACCTCCATGTGACATTAGCTTGCCCTTCCAGCAGCTAAGTTTTTTTTTTCAAATCGATCTTCGATACATTTCCATTCTTTATTAGTCGGCTTTCGATGATGAATGGGAATGCCCAGATAACTAAAAGGCAAAGATCCCAGTTCACATCCGAACAATTGTTTATATGTCTCTTGTTCTTCGTTGGCTCTCCCAAAACAGAACAATTCGCTCTTATAGAAATTAATTTTAAACCCGACAATTGTTCAAAAAGACATAGCACTAGTTTCATGTTTCTGGCCTTTGCGAGATCATTTACCATAAAAATGATAGTATCGTCGGCATACTGTAAGATAGAGACTCCCCCATCAACAAGATGTGGTACTAGGCCACCTACATGACCTTTCTCTTTGGCTCTTCCAATGAGAATGGCTAACAAATCTGCGACTATATTGAATAGGAGCGGAGACATCAAATCCCCTTGTCTCAAACTCTTATGAGTCTAAAAGTAGTGTCCTATATCATCGTTAACCCTAACTCCGACACTACCTTTTTGGACTAGGGAATCCACCTGATTCCTCCACATCTCGTTGAACCCCTTCATGTGCATTGCCTGCTGAAGGAACGACCACTTAACTTTATCGTATGCCTTTTCAAAATCTACTTTGAAGATAACTCCATCTAGTTTCTTCGAGTGGATTTCGTGAAGAGTTTCGTGTAGGACAACCACCCCTTCTAGGATATGTCGTCCTGGCATGAAAGCCGTCTGACTTGGTTGCACCACCGAGAGTGTGATCCGTGTCAATCTATTAGTCCCCACTTTGGTGAAAATTTTGAAACTCACATTTAAAAGGCATATCGGTCTGAACTGCTCAATGTGAATTGCTTCCACTTTCTTGCTGGTTCATGCTTTACATGTATATCTCCATTCCAGTCTACTATTAAGTTACTGAATGCGAGGTTGGGATAGCACCTCCAACGACGTCGAAAGGCGCGAGACACGCAGGCAGCACGTGCAGCATCTTGATTGGAACTAGTGAGTATATATGATGCCAGATGTCCTGCAAGCACAATCATGGAGAAGAACTCAACACTAGATTTATGAAGAAAGATGGTTAATTTCGTCCGAGGAGAGAAAACATAAGCAAAATCGTGGAATAATATTCTGCCCCAGGTGCTGTGCACATGCTCGCGCAAAGTCGGTAATTGGGGAGGAAGATACTGTATTCTTTTTTCAGCAAAAAACATTAGTGGCTTTCCTAAAAAAAGCTGCTGATGGCAACTACGATATAGTATAATTTTTTGAGTTACCCATGGAGCAGTCAACAACATCACCTATCTGGCGTTTTGGCTTCCTATATACACCGTACAGAAAAATGTTTGAATAATGTTAATTGCATAATAGCACGCTGTATATATAAAGATCAATGTAGCAACGAAAGAGCAAGAAGGAAGAGCAATAAATATTTAACTTGTACATGGTACAAATGACATTCAGATATTTATAATCAGGCAGAAAGCTCATGCGAAAGCTTTGGCAGCCAGCCAGCAAGTTATATGACATGAGACTTGGAAACTAGGATGAGAGGCTGGAGAGACCGGATAAAAGGTTGGTGTTTCACACACATAATAGTGAGCCATAGACTGCAGATGGATCACTTTTTTTTTTACTTCTTGCAGGGACTTGGTGTATCGGTTACAGGAGAAAAAATAAATAAAGAATGAAGTAAGGCAATCAGGGCCGGCCCTGGGCCAGGGCAGCGGGGGCGACGGCCTGGGGCCCAGCCAAACTAGGGGCCCCGACCCAGGCCATATATATATATATGCTTGAGGTACAGCCATACAAGTGGAGAACCAACAAGGCCTGAGAGGCCCATCGTGATATGTATGTAGATAAGAAGCCCAAAGATGCACATGCTGAATTCGTTCCGAATAACGATCGGTTGTAAGTATATGTACTCCCTCCGTAAACTAATATAAGAGCGTTTAGAATACTAAAATAGTGATCTAAATGCTCTTATATTAGTTTACAGAGGGAATACGTGTTTGCGCGGAGCCATGGCTGTCAGTTTTTTTTCTTTTGACCTTTCCGTCGCTGTTAGTTTGATTGCTTCTTCAATTCTCCAAACCCAATCGATAGCAGTATTCACAAGCTCGGGGCCTATGGCTTCGTTTCCCATCATAAACGGAGGACGGAGCGGCCCAATGCCGTGAAACTCTGCCGTAGTCCGGAGCATTGCAACGGCTGCCGACTGCGCCTAGGGCGAGGAAAACCCGAACGAGTGAGGTAATTTATTTTATGAATCGTTCAGCCCTTAATTTTAATCTGATGGATGGAAATTAAGTTGTATTCTTGTTTTTATAACACTTGCACTCTTTGAGGAGATAGCTGGTCTTGGTCACGTGGTCTCAACGTTTTGTACTTGGATAGTTGTAGAGCACACCAGTGTTGGAGCACACATTATTGCTGCTAATTTACCCCAAGTTGAGGTGTTCTCCTTTTTGTTTTTACAAATATGTTGCCTAAAATATTTATCTAATTCTGAGAAGAGAACAAGGAGAAAATGAGCACATCAGTTAACTAAATTTTAGAAGGAGATTATGAATAAATTTATTTTTTGGAATCACACTACTTTATAATCTAAAGCAATTAGATGCCAATATTATTGAAGCATCACAACCTATTATTATCATATACTTCCTCCGTAAAGAAATATAAGAATGTTTAGATCACTACTTTAGTGATCTAAATGCTTCTATATTTCTAAGAGCGTTTAGATCACTAAAGTAGTGACCTAGACGCTCTTGTATGTTTTTATAGAGGAAGTACTATTTACAAGGGGAAAATATATCATAGTTTATGGCTTTACCAGATTTTTTTCATATCAAAGTATGGAATTCTTTTTTTCCTCCACCGCGGCCGCTGGGCCCACTCATGGAGTCCGCCCTGGGGCCCTCGAAACTCCAGGGCCGGTCCTGTTTAGACCAAAAGAAAAAAAACAGTTTGTCTCTCTCAAAACCGCTTTATAGATAAAGCAGCTATCAAATTTATACTGTAATAAAATAAATAAAAGAGACAAAAACACCAAGTGGCCGATAGATTGGCCTAGAGTCGACGGTGCAAGGCGGCGAGCTGCTACGGTCACCGGGTCCATCATGTTGCCAAGCCGGTCCCAATCTCATTGTCTAGATTCAAGATGTAAGTGGACATGTTATTGGGCATTGTGGGATTTGCCCGCACTAACCATCATTCCTTACGCGGGATTATGTCAAAGTCCATTTAATATTTATGTGGTTACCGTGGCGTCCACATATGACCATTTATACAGTGGTTCATCCATTTACTTAACACATCAGATAGCCTGTTACATAAAAACCATCAGTTCATCCAAATGAACGGCGTCAAAACTAAAGCCTGGCACACATACAGAGGCGAGTTTCAAGGATTCAGAGACAAACACATACAAAAGCGAGCTTCAAGGATTTAAAGACAAACGCATACAAAAAGAGAGCTTCAAGCTTCAGAGACAAGCTTATTAGAATCATCACCTTCAGGATGAATGACTTCTGATGGCCCCTCGATTATTGATAACAGCACTACTGCACTAGTGCGTGCCAAGGATGAAGGATTCAGAGTTCATCAACCTTCAGACGACATGCGCTGGTCCCATCTCCCGTAGGTTGCGTCGCAGCAGAGGGGAGAGGCGGATGAGCGAGAGGGAAAGCAGAGCATAGGTACTATGAAATAGTTGCCGAAGACCTCCTTCGCCGTACCTAGCTGCACCTGCCGTCAAAACCATCGTCGCCATCGACGGAGTTGAAGAGAGTATCGACAGGATTGGAGAGATACTAGAGGAGGCGCTCCGCAAGGCTCGACTCGGTCCTCGGCGCTTCCCGACAGCGGCCTCTTCCAGAAACATGGCGGCGAGGTCTCCGACGCTTCCCGACATCGGCCTCTTCCAGAAACATGGCGACGACAGCGGTGCATGGAACGAAGGGAGAACTGGAATGGGGAGGTGGTGCCGGTGGAGACAGCGGCGATGATGCCTATGGCATGGCGATCGCGGTGCGACTGTGCGGGGGAGAGGATTGGAACGGTGTGCATCGAGTGTTGTGGTCGGCCGCTGGCTTCATGGGCTTTTCTGGGCTGTCCATTTGTGCCATTTAATTTTTCTGGATATCCACCAACGCCGTTTGATCCTTTTTTGGTGGATGGCATATGTGGGACTAGTGGGACCCACCGCCATATACATCCTGAGTCTAGATAACAGGTGCCGGTGCTTAAAAATGCCGAAAATTTGAATATAGAGTTAGTGGCATGCTGTAGGAAGAGGTGTCTCCCCCTCCCGATCTGGTATGCCTGGGTTTCTAGAAACTTTGCCAGGTCCCAGGCCTCCTAGTCAAGTCTCATAGCCTCGCGAACAATAGATCAAAGAAATCGAGCAGCAGAGCAGACAAAGAAGATGTCGGTCCCAGTCTTTGGGACACCACAAAGAGGACATAGTTCATTGCCAGGCCCGTTCCGCTTGGCCCTCTGTCCCCGAAGGGTGGCGATCCCATAGAAGTTGTCACACAAAAAACTTGATCGTGAGGGGGAGAGATGCTTTCCATAGAGGTGTGGTCCATGTGAGAACCGAGCACCATATGTCGACCCAATAGAGAAAAACCCCGGGGGAAATAAGCGCCAAGATATGGCATCCTGATAGTCCGGAAACAACGACGAAAGGTCACTAAAGGGCAGCCCAAGCAACATTTCACTCATGTCCAAATGTTCGTCCGAACGTGATATCCCAAGTCCCATTGTGGGAGGTCGGGGACACCAACAATCGCTGTCTGTTCAGATAGCAAACAACCCCAAGAACTCAATGCAGGATAGGGCTCCACCTACCCACTAGTCCAGCTAGAAGACGGTCCTATTTCCATTACCTTTGGAGATAGAGAGCCCTACGTTGGGGATATCGCTTATCGGAAACTTATCGGTCGACTCATGATAAGGGGTAAATCGGCCAGTTTATCGGCATATCGGCCGATTTATCGCCATATCCGCTGATTTATCGGCCGATTTATCTTATCAGTTAGACAACGGTAAGCGATAAATCGGCCGATTTATCGGAATATCGGAAGATATCTTGAACAGTCTGCCTAAGAAAAATCTCATTCTTGATCTGACTTTTAGAATTGAGATCCATCCCTACGCTCACGCGCTAGAAGGGGGCAGTCCTGCAAATACTTTGCTTTAATAAGTTGTAGCCAAAGGCCCCTCCGTTCATGTAGGATCCTCCAAAATCATCTCAACATAAGGGGCACATTCATGCGACGGGATGCAAGAATACCTAGACCCCCCAGGTCTTTGGGCAGGCAGATATCAACCTACTTGATCATAAGGTATTTCTGGCATCCATCAGCCGTCTGCTAGATGAAGCGTGATACCTCCTTATCAAATGAGCTATGCGCCCCTTCTGACACAATATATAACCCATCATATATATGGGGAGACTAGAAAGACACGAGTTGATAAGCACATTTTTATTCCCTTTGGACGTAAATCTACCTCACCATGGCACGGACCTAGAGGCGACCCAACTAGGGCAAAAGTCTTGGTTGGGGACCCTCGATTCAGATAGTGGCATACCTAAGCCCGCAATGGGGAAAGAGGACAACTTGCAATTAAGGTTGTTTGTAATTCGCTACCGACCGTCAACAGATTAACCTAACACTACCACCTCACTCTTATCAAGATTGATCTTAAGGCCAAATCACGGCTTTAAAGCAAAAGAGAAAGAACTTGAGGTTAATGATATCAAGTTCTGACCAGCCAAGCATGATCATAGTGTCATCCGCATATTGAAGATGAGTAACACCACCTCCAGGGATAATATGCTCAACCACACTAGAGATGTGGTCAACCATCCTAGCCTTAATGGGTATGATGGTGCCTTCTCCTTTATATATAAAAAAGAAGTCATCGTTTTGTCTAAAGTCAAACTTGAGAGATATACATGCATATTCTATTTTTTGATGTAGTATATACATATTTACTACTCTGAACTAAAACCACGACATTTATTTCTGGATAGGAGGGAGTAAGAAATATGTATCCATATTATATTTATTTGATATAGTAGATGTTGTATATTTTGAATACTGATTTCATAGGTGTTGGTATTATTATTATATTTTCTATAAACTTGGTTAAAGTTAAGAAATATATTGGTTTCAATTTTTTGTTAGAAGGGAGTAGATACTTTGGCATGGGATGATGTGACGAAATACTCTGTGAAGAATCAAAACAAGATGTATACCAGGGTGAACAAAAACACATTTTTTACGTTTTATCTTAAGAAAAAACAGACTCGGATTTTGTAGTTTGAATTTGTATGAAATGGTGGATGTCGTATCTATGTCTTAGATAAATTTCAGCTTATTGTATGACCATTTGGACATATGCAAATTTTGCACAACTATTTACCCTTGTGTACCATGTTGCATGCGGCCCATCCGAGTTTTCGGGAAAAAATGGTACGGATACATGTCAGGCTAAATATGAACACTTATTTTCCCAAACAAAAATCTGAACACTTACGTCTTGTACAAAAGAAAAGAGAAAGGAATGGTATCCAATAATCCATATCTTCTCCCTAATGAACAGTAAACTAAAAAATAGTAAAAAAAACTCTGAATATTCTTTTTTGACACCGGAAATGCTCAAGTCGGTTAGGAGTGTGTAATATTCATGGTGAAATGACATTTGAGAATCTCTAGAAAGAAATAAGGTCTCCAAAATACTTTTTTTAAAGGTTTCTTTGAGAGCCGACTTTTTTTTTCTGTCTACAGATCCCCGTTCCTCGAATGTTATTTGTCCATGAAATTTTGCAAGCTCATAGCACACTCAAGCATCTTTGGGGCCAAAAGAATTCAGATTTTTTTCTCACCAGCAAAGAAAAAGAATTCAGATTTTTCAGATTTTGTTTTCTAATTTATTTCTGAATTTACTGTTTATGATGGGTGTAGATGAGCATGGGCACCACAACGCCGTCCTTCGATGGTATCATGTTACTATTTTTACATGTTTGATGCCTTTCCCTATACACATCACAAAATGGTCCAATTTTTATGGGTTTCTGCAGGTGTGCATGCTATTGCATAACCTATGCAGTTTTTCACCTTTTTGTGTAAACATTGAACCGACACATGAAAATAGTGCTTATCATACATATTTGCAACATGATATCAGTGTAGCATCAACATCAACTATATGAACTGTATGTAATTCGAGTGCTTGTTCCAACTCCAGTAAGAAGATACCACTGAATATTCTAACAACTTAACATCTCAAGCTATGATGATACACATTAATAATGTTGCCGATAATTGATATACGCACTCAGTACAATTACAAGCACAATGTTTCAATCACATCCCATCTAAAATTATACTATAAGCATCATGATAATAAACCCGAGCTTAACATCTAAAGCTCAAGAAGCATGGCATCTGCTGCAGGGCTCCAGAACATCTAACTTCACCGTGGAGGGGACCTTCCCCTGGATGTGTGTTTGGATAGCCAAGAGCGGTCTAGGGGCTTCCATTTGAGTACGCTTGCGCATGCTAGAGCATGTGTCACTGATGCCATCAGAACACCTAACAACATAATAAGTGGTGTCCAACGAAAGGGACTCGAGTGACCCTGTGTTCTCAATGATATGAACCATTAGCTCGATCAAGCTTTTTGTAGAGTTAAAACCCAAGACCTTCATGCTCTTCAGCTTGCCATGTCGATGTCCTGGCATCTGCCTCGGATGCGAGGGGTCCCCGATAATCGACTCATGCTCCATGGGTTCCGTTGGTGTCTGCATGTGAGCGGCCAGTAAATTAATGGTTCTACCATTTACAATTGCTAGATATATCTTTCAAGGATGAGCACTGACTTACTGTCAAGGCGAAAGTCTCCAACGATGGACAAGCATCAAGAAATGAAACCAAAGACATATAATCATTCGCATCATGAAATGGGAAGGTATGAACCCAAATACTGAGGAACTTGACGTAGAGGAATCGACTGTGCATCATAGTGTTACTGGCCTGCATAAAGATACTCCATGATTAGTTACCGTGTAACGGTGTAAGATATAAATATTGTCATACGAACGTCCGAAGAGTATACCCCAAGACACGAAGTTATGCAAAGAGTTTGGAGGTTTGGCGCAATTGACGGAAGTGTAGCACGAGCATCATCGAGGGCCTGTGGATGGGACAATACTAGTTTCTCCAATTACAATGGCTCTCCAAGTGAGAGTTGTACTCGTTTACCAGCAAAGTAAAAGCTGAAGAGATTTGGAGCTTTGCTCTCTATAGCTCGTAGAGTGTTGCAACTGATAATGTGAAGCCTCCTGAGCCGGTCCAGTGTGCAAGGTATCTTCAGGCAAGTGATCCCACTGCAATTCCCAAATGCAAACAGCTACAAAACAGGACAACTGGAAAGAAGGCAACCTAATTCATCCTCCTTGATGCCCACATGATACAGGTGAAGCTGTGTAAGGCTTCTCAAGCAGCTGAGTTTGGCCGCGGGACCAAAGGCGCAACCCGCAAGGTGTAGATGCCGAATTGAGTTCCCACTCAGATCAGATAAAAGTGAGCACGGGAAGCGGTATGTTGCCAATGCTGAAGACAACTGAAAACTGAGTTCTTCGATAACCGGTGTAATGGCAACCTGAAGCCATCTATCGAGAGAGCAACAGTCGCTGGAACTGGGGCCAATGAATTCAAGCCTGAGAGTCTTCAAGCCACCAGAGTGGCTTGTCAGAACTTGGTTGACCCTGCTGGAGAATTCTCTTGCTGGTTTATTTTTTTGGAAAAGGAGGCGTACCCCCGGCCTCTGCATCCGAAAAATGCATGCGGCCATCTTTATTAAAAACGAGGTTCAAAACAAAGGTAGTCTTAACTCCATTACAGCTCGCAAGAGGAGCGAAAATAAAAAAGAGCTCTGAAAGCCACAACCGCCATGTGCAAAAGAATAGAACACTAAACGCCTATTCTATGCAGAGATCGACATCCAAACCGGTTGAATATATCCCATACTGCCGTCTCCCATTGGATGCACCCAGTAACCAACGGCTCCCTGACTCCATAGGAGTGAGTAAGGACCACGTACGGATCTAGGCACTAGCTCTGAAGATGACCTGCAAGAATGTTAAAGAATGTTGTCTGTTAAAGATCATATCGTTTCTGCAGTTCCATATAGCCCAAAAAAGCGCACATATTTCAATTCGAATACGAGACGCAGTAATCAAATTGATACCAGCTAGCCAGGTCCCAAATAAACCTTCAATACTAGTTGGTGGATTAATGTTAAAGGCTATATGAATTGATCGCCATAGTAATCTCGCAAGGGGGTACTCTATAAATAAGTGTTGGATTGTCTCATCATGCACACAAAAACAACATCGTGGACTGCGCACCCACCTTCGCTTTATCAAATTGTCCTTGGTAAGGATCACTTGGTTGTGTACAAACCACATAAAGATTTTAATACGCAAGGGGGCCTTCACCTTCCAAATATGTAGGGATCTTGGGATTGGACCAGAGTTAATGAGATCCATATAAAAGGATTTAACCGTGAACACACCGTTGCTTGTTAGTTTCCATATGAAAGAATCAGGTTGATCAGATAATTGAACATCCATTAACCGTCTAACCAAGTGTAGCAAGGAATTCTAACGTTCCTCGACTAGAGATCTCCTAAACGATGTATTTAAGGGTACCTCTTGTAAGATATTGGCCATGTAATCTTCTTTACGTTGAACAATATTATATAAGGTAGGGTATTGCAGTGCTAAAGGTTCGTCCCCTAGCCACATATCTTCCCAAAATCTTGTTGTCAGCCCATTGCCGACACAGAATTTGGCCCTTCGAAAGAACAAATCATTCGTTCTCATGAGTCCCTTCCAGAAAGGAGAATCCGTAGGTCTTGCGGTAACTTGGGCTAAGGTTTTTGAGTGTAAATATTTGTTTTGTAGTATCTCAGCCCACATACCATCATGTTCTACTGACAACCGATATAACCATTTACTCATTAAGCATTTATTCTTAATCTCTAGATTTTCAATGCCCAGACCACCCTGGTCCTTGGGTCTGCAAATGATATCCCACCTAGCCAAATGGTATTTCTTCTTAATGTCATCTGACTGCCAAAAGAATTTAGATCGATAGAAATCCAGTCTCTTCCGTACCCCCTTAGGTACTTCAAAGAAAGATAACAGGAACATCGACATACTAGTTAATACTGAATTAATTAGAACTAACCGACCTCCATGTGACATTAGCTTGCCCTTCCAGCAGCTAAGTTTTTTTTCAAATCGATCTTCGATACATTTCCATTCTTTATTAGTCGGCTTTCGATGATGAATGGGAATGCCCAGATAACTAAAAGGCAAAGATCCCAATTCACATCCGAACAATTGTTTATATGTCTCTTGTTCTTCGTTGGCTCTCCCAAAACAGAACAATTCGCTCTTATGGAAATTAATTTTTAAACCCGACAATTGTTCAAAAAGACATAGCACTAGTTTCATGTTTCTGGCCTTTGCGAGATCATTTACCATAAAAATGATAGTATCGTCGGCATACTGTAAGATAGAGACTCCCCCATCAACAAGATGTGGTACTAGGCCACCTACATGACCTTTCTCTTTGGCTCTTCCAATGAGAATGGCTAACAAATCTGCGACTATATTGAATAGGAGCGGAGACATCAAATCCCCTTGTCTCAAACTCTTATGAGTCTAAAAGTAGTGTCCTATATCATCGTTAACCCTAACTCCGACACTACCTTTTTGGACTAGGGAATCCACCTGATTCCTCCACATCTCGTTGAACCCCTTCATGTGCATTGCCTGCTGAAGGAACGACCACTTAACTTTATCGTATGCCTTTTCAAAATCTACTTTGAAGATAACTCCATCTAGTTTCTTCGAGTGGATTTCGTGAAGAGTTTCGTGTAGGACAACCACCCCTTCTAGGATATGTCGTCCTGGCATGAAAGCCGTCTGACTTGGTTGCACCACCGAGAGTGTGATCCGTGTCAATCTATTAGTCCCCACTTTGGTGAAAATTTTGAAACTCACATTTAAAAGGCATATCGGTCTGAACTGCTCAATGTGAATTGCTTCCACTTTCTTGCTGGTTCATGCTTTACATGTATATCTCCATTCCAGTCTACTATTAAGTTACTGAATGCGAGGTTGGGATAGCACCTCCAACGACGTCGAAAGGCGCGAGACACGCAGGCAGCACGTGCAGCATCTTGATTGGAACTAGTGAGTATATATGATGCCAGATGTCCTGCAAGCACAATCATGGAGAAGAACTCAACACTAGATTTATGAAGAAAGATGGTTAATTTCGTCCGAGGAGAGAAAACATAAGCAAAATCGTGGAATAATATTCTGCCCCAGGTGCTGTGCACATGCTCGCGCAAAGTCGGTAATTGGGGAGGAAGATACTGTATTCTTTTTTCAGCAAAAAACATTAGTGGCTTTCCTAAAAAAAGCTGCTGATGGCAACTACGATATAGTATAATTTTTTGAGTTACCCATGGAGCAGTCAACAACATCACCTATCTGGCGTTTTGGCTTCCTATATACACCGTACAGAAAAATGTTTGAATAATGTTAATTGCATAATAGCACGCTGTATATATAAAGATCAATGTAGCAACGAAAGAGCAAGAAGGAAGAGCAATAAATATTTAACTTGTACATGGTACAAATGACATTCAGATATTTATAATCAGGCAGAAAGCTCATGCGAAAGCTTTGGCAGCCAGCCAGCAAGTTATATGACATGAGACTTGGAAACTAGGATGAGAGGCTGGAGAGACCGGATAAAAGGTTGGTGTTTCACACACATAATAGTGAGCCATAGACTGCAGATGGATCACTTTTTTTTTTACTTCTTGCAGGGACTTGGTGTATCGGTTACAGGAGAAAAAATAAATAAAGAATGAAGTAAGGCAATCAGGGCCGGCCCTGGGCCAGGGCAGCGGGGGCGACGGCCTGGGGCCCAGCCAAACTAGGGGCCCCGACCCAGGCCATATATATATATATGCTTGAGGTACAGCCATACAAGTGGAGAACCAACAAGGCCTGAGAGGCCCATCGTGATATGTATGTAGATAAGAAGCCCAAAGATGCACATGCTGAATTCGTTCCGAATAACGATCGGTTGTAAGTATATGTACTCCCTCCGTAAACTAATATAAGAGCGTTTAGAATACTAAAATAGTGATCTAAATGCTCTTATATTAGTTTACAGAGGGAGTATGTGTTTGCGCGGAGCCATGGCTGTCAGTTTTTTTTTCTTTTGACCTTTCCGTCGCTGTTAGTTTGATTGCTTCTTCAATTCTCCAAACCCAATCGATAGCAGTATTCACAAGCTCGGGGCCTATGGCTTCGTTTCCCATCATAAACGGAGGACGGAGCGGCCCAATGCCGTGAAACTCTGCCGCAGTCCGGAGCATTGCAACGGCTGCCGACTGCGCCTAGGGCGAGGAAAACCCGAACGAGTGAGGTAATTTATTTTATGAATCGTTCAGCCCTTAATTTTAATCTGATGGATGGAGATTAAGTTGTATTCTTGTTTTTATAACACTTGCACTCTTTGAGGAGATAGCTGGTCTTGGTCACGTGGTCTCAACGTTTTGTACTTGGATAGTTGTAGAGCACACCAGTGTTGGAGCACACATTATTGCTGCTAATTTACCCCAAGTTGAGGTGTTCTCCTTTTTGTTTTTACAAATATGTTGCCTAAAACATTTATCTAATTCTGAGAAGAGAACAAGGAGAAAATGAGCACATCAGTTAACTAAATTTTAGAAGGAGATTATGAATAAATTTATTTTTTGGAATCACACTACTTTATAATCTAAAGCAATTAGATGCCAATATTATTGAAGCACCACAACCTATTATTATCATATACTTCCTCCGTAAAGAAATATAAGAATGTTTAGATCACTACTTTAGTGGTCTAAATGCTTCTATATTTCTAAGAGCGTTTAGATCACTAAAGTAGTGACCTAGACGCTCTTGTATGTTTTTATAGAGGAAGTACTATTTACAAGGGGAAAATATATCATAGTTTATGGCTTTACCAGATTTTTTTCATATCAAAGTATGGAATTCTTTTTTTCCTCCACCGCGGCCGCTGGGCCCACTCATGGAGTCCGCCCTGGGGCCCTCGAAACTCCAGGGCCGGTCCTGAAGGCAATCATGCTTATATTTTACTTGCAAGATGTCCTCGTTGGCTCTTTATTTCTGCCATACCTCTGGAAGATCTGGCCCTGATGAGTATTTCATCCTTTTCCCGCCTGCTTCTGAATCTTGATCTTGATGCCCGGATTGGGATGAACATTCACCTTCCGCCGACATGGGAGTCGATGCATCTGCAACGACAGATCATTCTTGTAAGCACACATTGATACTTACTCCTTCCGTTCCATAATATAGGACACTTTTTGACACTACACTAATGTTAAAAAACATCTTACATTATGGGACGGAGAGAATAGATTAGAGAAGAAAACAACAGAGTTCCAATCCATTGATGACAGAGAAAAAGAAGAGCAACCCTAGACAGAGGGCACGGCAAGAGAGGAGGAGATTCGTTTACAGATGCCGCCGGACATGACATGAAGAAGAGTGAGGTTTGTTACCGCGGGCTCGGGCTTTGCGACGCCGCGGTGGCGAGCAGCGCTCCTCCCTCTCGCCCGGTCACATCGCGACATCAATGCCGGCCGCTGCGTGCTCTGGGCCGACATTGATGCGGCACGGAAGCGGCGCATGCATTGAAAGTCTAAGCGCGGGAGAGTCGGGTGGGTTTTTTTGATAGGTCAGGATGGGTAGGAGCGGGCGTGGCAGCGGTCCAGACGCCCGTAAAAGCCTCCTTAATTTGTCTCTGGTGTGGGGGAAAAGTATGTCCGGACCGCTCACTGGATCGATACAGACCCGTGTTGGATGACACAACACGTCAGGACAGCCCGGTCCGAACGTATGCAGACAGTTTAAGGATTCGTGTTAGAGATGCCCTTAGTGATTTCTCAGCTCGCTCAATGTGAACTTAAGCTTCCTAGTGACCAGTTTATTAGCTAATTGTCCTAGGAATGCTTTTGGTTTGAACAAAAGCTCTCTGAATTGCCAAAAAAAAAAAGAATTTCAGGGCGGCCTACGTAAGCCCTCTCCTCGCATAACACGTAGGAGGTGCCTACAATAAAAATCATGAGTGCTCGTCAAAGGCGTCAATCCACCATTTTCAAATTTGCCAACGCATACGCATGCGTGCTCTGGAAGCACTTCAGCGAAGGGGTAGGCAACGTAGTATCACTTTCGACGACTCAAATTTTTCTTGCTTCATTTATGGAACGCGCGTGCTGCTTGTGGGTTGTCGCCTTTACTAGCTCGGGTCATCGTCGTAGTCGTCGGACTGCCTACCCGTCGAGACTCTTCGCTCCACCATACGAGCTGCCTAACGTGCTGCGTTATCATGGCCACTCAGACGAAATATCCGCTTCTCCCGTCCTCGGTCGAGCTGAGCATCTCTCCGGCCGTCCCATTCTCTCTGCCCTCTGCCGAGCTGATCGGCTTCTCTCCGTCCAAACCCAGCAGCATCAGCAGCAACTCTCCCCTCTCTACTGAGCCTCTTCTCCACCCTCTCCCCTGTCAACGACGGCGCCCTCCCCTCGTCCTCCTTCCCCGCCACTTGAGTTCTGGAATCGGGGAGCTCTGGAAGGCAGTCTCCGGCCATGGCAACGGCGGCACGCTCCTCCGGCGTCCAGTTTCTCGACTAGTTCGCACCGCCGCTTGAGTCGCTGACCCCCACCGCCTCTCTCTCTCTGGTTCCGGGGCAAGCCCTGCTGCGATTTGCCTCCGCGTCTTGGTTGGAGTTGCTTGCTCTTACTCATAAAAGCAGAAAGCTCACCAAGCTCGTCGGAATGGCAGGGGTGTTGGACCTGCTCCTCGGCAAGCTCACCATGCTGCTTAGCGACGAGTACAAGATGCTCACAGGGGTGAGGAGGCATGCCTCCTTCCTCAAGGACGAGCTCAGTGCCATGAAAGCTCTTCTTGACAAGATGGAGCTTATGGACAAGCTTGATCCCTCAGCCAAGAACTGGAGGGATCATATAAGAGAGATGTCCTATGATATGAAGAACTGCATCGACGACTTCATGCATGATATTGAAGGTACCCATGTAAAGGCAGGCTTTGTTAGAAAGATGGTTCAGCGTCTTAGGAGGCTGGGGAGACGTCATAAGATAGCGAAGAGGATCCAGGAGCTCAAGGTTCTTGCGGTGGAAGCAAGTGCTCGACGTGAGAGATACAAGATTGATGATTGCATCAATTCGAGTCGTGGTGTTGCGGTTGTGGATCCCCGGATGTCGGCGATCTACAATGATGCGGCATGCCTGGTAGGTATTGATGGACCAAAAGAAGAGCTTGTCAGTTGGTTAACTGATTCACATAAGAAACTCAAAGTGGTTTCTATTGTGGGGTTCGGAGGTGTGGGTAAAACTACACTTGCCAAACAAGTGTACAATGAGATTGGAGAGCAATATAACTGTAAGGCATTTATTTCGGTCTCCCAAAGACCTGATATGAAAAGCCTTCTTGGTGGCCTACAATTCAAGCTTGGACTGGAGGAGTCTTCTCATGCTCACGAGCTGCAAGACTTCATTGACCAGCTTAGAGAACACCTCAAACATAAAAGGTATCTGTTCTTCTCTCGATAGTTGTGTGATTTCCCGAAAGGTTATCTAAAAGTTTTTGTCATGCTTTAGTGTGTAACTTTAAACAGTTGTACCGATGCGTCATGACGAAGATATTTTGTTAGGTCAATGCAAAGTGTGGTGGTTTCGCTACAAAAAAAGTGGTGCTAGTTCATAAAGATTAGTATTAGGATAAAAATTGTAAGCACAAAGCCTTTTTTTATATGTCTTATTACTCTTATAGTGCATTATAATAAATCAACCTCTATGTGGCAAGCATATAAGTCATTATAATTTGGGACAACAAAATTAGGGAATTATGGACATAGAACCCTGAGCTTTCCTTTCATTTCAAACTTTGCCATATTTCTATATGTTCCGCTTATTTTTTAAAGATAATGGTCACCATCCTTTATTATGTTTGTTTCCTTCGTTTTAGTTTTCATGCTTTTCTCTATACCTTATAATCATATCCTAATATAATGTATGAATAACTTGTGCAAAAATTGCAACAGGTACTTCATTTTATTGGCTGACTTGTGGGATCAATCGACATGGAACATTATTAATTGTTCCTTTCCGGAAAATGATAATGGAAGTAGAGTAATGATAACCACATGATTGGATAATGTAGCTGCCAGGGCGTGTCGCAATGACCGTGCCTGCATTTACATAATGAAGCCCCTTAGAGAGCAAGACTCAAGGAGATTATTTTTTAATAGAGTATTTGGGTCTGAAAATGTCGGCTCGGTACAATTCAAAGAAATTTCAGTTGAAATTCTCAAGAAGTGTGGCGGGTTGCCACTTGCAATTATCACCATAGCTAGCCTATTAGCTTGCCATGAAGCAGGATCTTCAAATGAGTGGGAGAGCATAAACAATTCTCTTGGCGCGAAGTTTGCCACAAAACCCATATTGGAAGAGATGAGAGGTATACTAAACCTTAGCTACACACATCTTCTTATTCATCTCCGACCATGTTTTTTGTATCTTGGCATGTATCCAGAAGACCGTTTGATCATTAGGGATGACCTAGTTCGACAATGGATCGCCGAAGGATTTGTTTGTAATTTGCATGGAGCAGATTTGGAAGACGTTGCCAAGAGTTATTTCGTTGAGCTTATCAATAGAGGTCTGATTCAGCCTGAGAAAACATGCTATGGGGATGTAATTACATGCAGGATACATTATATGATGCTTGATTTGATCCTAAGCAAGAGTACAGAGGATAATTTCATCAGTGTGGCATATAAGCATGAAGACATGGCAAGATTTAATAGTTGTGAGTACAAAGTTCGTCGATTCTCTCTCCAATCAAGTGTTGGTGGTGCAATGTCGAAGGCCCTTGCTACTAGCATGCCACAAGTCCGATCATATACACAGTTTGGAGAGTCCAAGTACATGCTTCCTCTTCCACAATTTAAGTATCTACGGGTGCTTGCTTTTGAGTTTCCGTTTAACTGGAAAACGACAATCGACCTCAGGGCAACTGGCCATTTGTTTCTACTAAGGTATTTGAAGGTTTCAGCTCTGTCCGCAGAAGTAGCGCTCCCTGCAGAAATTCAAGGGCTTGTGCATTTGGAAACTCTTGAGTTACATTGCCGGCCCATACAAAGGTTCCCATCGGATATCACTTGCTTGGCCAACTTGTTTCATTTGATACTTCCAGAGTGCACATTGCTTCCTGAAGGGATCCAGAACATGAAATCAGTTAGCACCCTGCATTGTTCGGACATGTCAGAGAGTTCCCTCAAGGAAATCAAAGGCCTTAGCGAGCTGACTAATCTGAAGGAATTGAAGTTACGTGTGCCCACTTACTACCCAGGCATGACGATTGAATGTTTCGATGCTTTGCTCTCCTCCATTGGAATGCTTCGAAACCTCAAGCACCTCTCCCTCGAGTGCTGGCATAAATACGATGGCTATGACAGCTAGCCGGACTCATTATCCGATCCTCCACCCTACCTCCAGACAATCCATTTGGAAGGTTTATCATTTAGTATAGTTCCCAAATGGATTGGTGAGTTACGCTGCCTCCGGATCCTCTCTCTGCGTGTCGTGTACCTGCCGAGTGACAAGGTTCGTGTTCTTGGAAAGCTTCCCTCCCTCGTCTTCGCCAGGTTCTACGTGTCGGACGTCTCCCATGACAAGGTGGTGGTAAGCACGGGGTTGTTTCCGGTTCTAGAGTGCTTTGATTTCCGGTCCGATGAAGATGTCACCGCGAACCTGAGCTTCGAGCCAGGAGCTATGCCCAAGCTGCAAAGGCTCGCTCTGGCATTCGACTGGCAAGAGTGGAGAGGCGCCACACCAACTGGCATGGAGTGCCTGCCCTGCCTCCGGGACATTGGCTTGAGTATTACTACTGTTTCAAGCAGTAATAATCTGAAACATATACACGATACTATGGAGTCAGCATTCAAGGACGCCGCACGGGTGCACCCAAGACATCCCTCTTTACATATTTTTAGATTTATCCCGTTGAACCGCCTCTCATCTGTAACTTAACCAATTCCATGTCATTTGATGTGTTTATTTATTTATTATGATAGTCTCTTGTGTATTTGATTTCTTGAGTTTTGTAAACCCCAAGCAATTCAGCTTTATTGACCCAGGTCAACACTCAGCAGACCCTTTGACAAATGATCCGTCGAGTTTGGAAATGTTTCGTCCCATAAAAGGAAAATTTTGTTGTGAAGAGAGAGAAAGACATCTCTCTGTATTGCTCTTTATATGTGTCTCTGTTTTGAGTTCAATCTTTTATTAAGCCAGATACCAGAAGCTGGGTGTGCCTCCCGGTACGGACATGCTAGGTACTAGGTTGTAAACAATGCAATTTTTCAGTAGAATTCGTGTATAAAGTTAGGTTTGACCTAGTCAAATGACCGTGCATGTGGCTGATCTTGATGCTAGATCGAAGGGCCCTGGTACCATTGTTCTTCCAAATTTTATTGCCGACAAATATAAATTCATCCTTCATTGGATTAGCTTGTTATTTATGGGACCTCCATCTGTTCAGTTCCAATGACTTATGAAAGATGTACGTATATGATAATGCAAATTCATTTGTAGATCACGCTTTAGTCCATAGGTTGCCCTTTCAAATTTGAAAATTCTCAACTAAGGTCAACTATGGTATTTAGAAACAAATATTATAAATCCCTAGGGAAAAGGTAAAGAAATCAACACAAACGGAGATCAGTTAAAAATTGTGGGTGCCTGTTCATCGGTAATCTTCTTATGGCGAATTATGTGTTGTGCTGTACTGAAACAATGGAAGCTCTGAACCTGCTATACTGCACACATGTTTTGGTTTGCTGTACCGACCTGTACTCTTACACTGTTTTTTCTGAAAGTTCTGATGCCAAGACACTGGTTGATCTGCTGTATTAAGCTATATACTACTTCCTCCGTCCCATAATGTAAGATGTTTTTTGATACTAGTGTGGTGTCCAAAAAACGTCTTACATTATAGGACGGAGGGATTAGATTCTGCACTGCATTTCTGAAACTTCTAATTCCAAGACCAATACAAACATGCTGATGGAGCCAATGAACCAACTGAGACGAGAGCATAAACATTCTGCACTGCATTTCTGAAAGTACTTATTACAATGAACTGGAGGCTATTGTAATTGCGCTCATTAATCCGATACAATCACCTACGTATTTGTCTACTTTGGTACTGCTGGTTGTTTTAAACACATACCAAGTGTCTTCAGCCAGCACTGGGGGTCTAAGATATACTCCCTCCGTCCGAAAATACTTGTCATCAAAATGGATAAAAGAAAATGTATCTAAAAACAAGTATTTCTGAACAGAGGGAGTAGCTGAAACTCATGTATGCATTGTTCATATTTCAGTTGAGTGGTATTCTCATCTCATCGTCAGGTGTCGCAAAGAGTAACTGAACTGAAGCGTAGAAGAAAGAACTGGGTGCTTGATTCAACACGGTACACGAGCGGATATGTGATGCTTTGAAAGAATTAGTACTGGATTTCACAGGGGGTTTGAAGAAGGCTTTCGCCCCAGCTTACAGCGAGGATGGATCGGGTGCAGGGAATTGATAAGTAGGATGCCCAGACTCAGCTCCGGATACGAATTGAAGCTGCTGCTCTTCATCCGCCGGACCCCCATGTGCGCATTCGTCCTGGCCTTTGTGGTAAGCTCTGGCGCCGCGCCGCCGCCGCCGGAGACACCTGCCGATGGTTCTGACAGGACCCGATCGTGGTAGAAGTAAGAATTGGTGATCTCGCTCTTGATTTTTGATTTAGAGACGGCCCAGGGATGGACTGGGGAAGAAGGATGAAAACTGTTAGAAATATAATTGGGTTTAAGTTAGAGATAAGGAGATAGAGATATAATTAGTTTAAACCATATGTAACTTGTCTTGTACTTCAAGTCTCTATCCCTCTTGTACTCCTATATATACCCTACACAAGAGTCAAATCAATACAACACATAATTCTAGGGTTTCATATTTTCCACATGGTATTAGAGCGGTTTGTTCAACGACGCCGATCCTAGGACCTTCCTCCACTTCCGCAGCGCGCCGCCCCCGGGGAGATTAATCTTCTCTTCCCGGGGGCGCGGCACCCGATCGATCACTGATCATATCGATTCCGTAGATTAGATCAATTTCTTAGTTTAGATAAATTCGCCAATTTCTGAAATTCTCTTAGATCTTTTTTTAGCTACCAAATAAACTCGTCAACCCTCAAATTCCGGTGAAGAAAATCCAACAGAAGCGGTGCAGGCGGCAGCTGCCAAGAGACAGGGCGGGCAATTCGATCATCCTCTCGTTGCACAATGAGCCAACTCCGGAGCGGGGTGCTCCGATCTGATCTAACCGGCTTCATCAACTACATTCACATGCGGCGGACACAGTGTATTCGGCACTAAGGGTACATCTGCACCGACCTTAAGCTCCGGCCAGCGATGGGCAGGCGGTCGCACACGCTGATGCGGCGACGGGCGTGCTCATACGCGCGCACGCAAGGACGAGTGCAGGCCAGGAGGGCTGGCCACGAGCGACGCCCCCCTTGACTTCGAGCCACGCATCGGCCCGACACCTCCCAACGCAATCTGCATCGACAAGCACCATGTCCTGCATGGCTCGCTCGGTACGGCGGCTGCGAGCGCCCAGCGACGCAGGTGGCTGCACACGTGGACGCGGCGACGGGCGTTCCGATCACGTGAGGGACTTAACTCGCATGTTATCTCAGACGCATGTATGCAGGTACTGATCCGTCAAGGTGGGTTCTACACGTACGTGTGGCCAAGAGCCCAAGACTACGTCAAGGTTCAGCGGACGGCTCACCTAGCAATCCTGCATCGACGTCGTCCTACACTACATCTGCATCAAGCCGGCAAACCTGCACCGTCGCCCACCACACTCTTCGAGCCACGTCCATAACCGCTGCACCAAGCTATCTTCACCGAGCGATCTACACCGACCCACGCCACATCATCGAGCTGTACGTCTACATCACGCCCAATAAAAAAAATCTTTATTGAGCACATGTACGAGAAGCGACCATGACATGCATCGTCCACACGCTAGGCCGGTGTGGAGAGAGATGCAAGTCTTCATTGACTTCTCCAGCGCGACACGGCATCGACACATCATCGCCGCGAGGGATGCCTTCAAGCGACATCATCGTCGACATGCGGTTGCAACACCATAGCCGACACTTCATCGCCAAGGTCTCCATCAACATGGTCTTCACTAGCATCATCGTCAACGCACCGCCGCCGCCGCCTCGTCCACAAGATGGACATCTAGCATCCTCTGACAGACTTTTCTGCAAGGCGCGACCTCGACGGCGGCAATGACCGCGTCACGACGACGATATCTTCCGCGTAATCCACGACGGCACGACTGCATCGACACGGCGTCACTACAGTGACGACCCTACACGGCCACACGGTTCTGGCAAAAACGATGTGTGCTCAATGGGCTTCCTCCGGTCTTGGCAAAATCGGTGGACTCATCGCCGACGGCACCCTCTGACACCCGCAAGGTGTATCGTCCACGTCTGCAGCTCCGTCATAGCGTATTTTTTTGCGCCTCCGGCTTTGTGCGGCTTCATCATCCACGACGACCACACCATCGACCATGACTACCTCGACCACGGCTACATCATCATGATCGGTTACCTCGACTTTAATGACTACGTCTACAACAACTCATCGGCAACAACTCCAGTCAACAACGTCCGCCTCGTCACTTGCGTCCACGACACTCCCGCTGTGACTGCAGGAGGGAATAGAGGAGAAGGCATGAAGGCACCAGAAGGGGATGCAGTCACCGCCCTAGGTGCCAACCCATCAGAGACGCAGTTGATGATGGCGCAGTGGAGAAGACGACGAAAGCGCAAGACTTCAAATCCAGTCGTACTCGTCCGCTTCACTCCCGCTACGACTGAGGGGGAATGTTAGAAATATAATTGGGTTTAAATTAGAGATAAGGAGATAGAGATAGAATTAGTTTAAACCACATGTAACTTGTCTTGTACTTCAAGTCTCTACCCCTCTTGTACTCCTATATATACCCTACACAAGGGTCAAATCAATACAACACATAATTCTAGGGTTTCATATTTTCCACAATAACTACGCAAGGGACTAAGCGAATTGGGGATAAACCTTTTTTTAGGAAGGCCATCATGGCTAGCTTTATTGATTTAACATAGGCATTACATCGTCCACAAGCGAAGAGATCAGACAACCCGGAGGCTCGTCTGTCCAGTTTAAAGAGGTCTTATTACAATAAGAAAAGTTAGCTAGCACATGCGCCGCTTGATTGAAAGAACGAAAACAATGCTTGAAGACAACCTTCCCTATTAAAGAAGAAACATCCACACATTCCGCGAAAATTGCTGTTGCAGCATCCCACCATCTAGATTGGCCATCACAAAAGTTTATGACGTTTAAGG